TAATCAAATGGAATCTTTTTAATAATTGAAAATAATATAATTATTAAAATAACATACAATTAAGTAATACATACCTATCTGTTAATGGTGTTATCACCAGTCGATCTGTACATCCCAAATATTCATTCTGGTAGGAAAAGTTAACGTCCGTAATAATAATGAGGGTTTTGTCCTGCTCCTCTTTGAAATAAAATCTGCATTGCTTCAGCCACTCAAAATCGTTTACATGTCGTACATTTAGCCGACACTAAAATATGCATGAATAAAACATTTGTATAATGGTTTCTGACTGATTTTATTAAGGGAGTTTAGGATTCTCTTGTAGAGTTGTTGTAGAAATTAATTTCGAACTCCGAAAGCACGTGTAACTACTATTAGTCCAGTGAATAAAGGAAATTTAATGGGAAAAACGTTGTTTACGTAATTATAATAAAATAATTAAAAATGTGCCACTAGCACTTGTAATTAAAAATAAAAGGTAAAAAGTTCAGATTTCGTATGCAATTTTTGCATTTTGCTGCAAATTAACTCACGTATTATAAATATGTGTTAAATAAATAAACGTTGAGCAAGTTTTGCCATTTTTTACGATTCTCATGGCATTAATAACATTTATTGCTTCCATTGACCGGTCAGTGTGGAATTATATTGTTAACGCCTAATCTTCAATATAAACCAATAAACCAACATGAAATTTCGGTATTAATTGGCAACAAATATAAGGGATTTAAAATATACTTTAAACTGAATTTAACCCTGAATTTAAACTTTCACGTTACAAACAATCGTAAATGTTTCACGTCATAGGAAATGCTTCAGTGAAGACAGTATTGTGTGGACGTTATAGCTTAGGTTGTGTAGTTTTAAAATACGTACTTGTGTAATCGAAAATAAGTAGTTTTTAATGTAGGGTGAAAGTTTAAATTTAGCATTTTTTAGGCATATTTCAAATGCTTCACATTTGTTATCAAAACTCAAAACTGAAAATTTCCATGGCAACTAGTCAATGAAAGTGATATATTTTATTGATATTATGGGAATCGTAAAAAACGGCAAAAATCGCGCAACATTTATTTATTTAATACCTTTATGAAAAGTAACTTTATTTGTAACAAGAGGCGAAAGTTGCATACGAACTGCATTTTTCACTTTTAAAGCCCATTTTAATTTTTATTGGTAGAATTTTACTGTTGAGTTGATGCAAATTTTATTTAAAATTGATATTGCGCATAACTGACATGGACAACAAAAATAAAAAATCTTAACAGATTAGAAGCGTTTGAGTTGTGGTGTTACCGTCGCATGCTCAGAATCCTCTGGACAGCACACATATCTAACGAACGTGTGCTAGAGACCGTGCACAAAGAGCGAGCATTGATCAACATCATCAAAATGAGAAAGGTCCAATACTTCGGTCATATAATGAGAGGACCTAAATATTGCTTACTCCGGTTAATTATTTAGGACAAAATCGAAGGAAAACGTTGGGTCAGAAGAAAACAACTGTCCTGGCTGCGTAACATTAGACAATGGACAGGTCGAACGGTCGAGGAAGTTGTTCATCTAGCTGCCGACCGAGAATCATTTCATCAGCCTGTCAATATGACGATAGCCAACGCTTGAATACAAGCATGGCACACAAAGAAGAAGATAACTGACATTCAAAACCGCCGGTCGCTTCCAGCATTGTTTCTGAGAGAACAGTTTACTTTCCACAAAAATATTTTTGTTAAAAATTATCTTAACTACATTTTTTGTTTTTTTTTTCTACAGCGCAGCGTACAGATTATGCGTTAATTGATTTTTTCCGTTTTCTTCTTTATGGGAGGGTTTTAGGGTTAAGGCTAAGGGTAAGGTAAAAGTGATAAACTTTTTTACATTTTTTGTAGTCTAGAATGTGACATTATCAGCAAAATTCAACTTGTTCGTATGATTTTTAGTGGGTCAGTGGCATTTTCATCCCTGACAACTGGAGTATATATTCACTCTTCCTTTCTATTTATTATTACTATAGTTTTTGCACTAATGATTGAATTTTGCTTTCAAGCTCTTCACGATCTTCTTCTTATTCTTCCTCTGTTTCATTTATTACTAAATTTTTTCATTCCCACGTTTATATCTAACATTTAAATTCGTTCTATTTGGAATTTAATTCGTTCTAAAACTTTTCCTGTGGAATCTCTAAGTTTAATAATAGTTATATGGGATAAGGCCACAATTTATTGCAATGAAAGTTATATTTTATATTTGTTATTTAACGTTTCAATTTCTACTCCAGAAATCGTTTTTAAAAAACATCATTTTGAGTATAAATGAAAATAATCGTTTTCTATATTTTAATAATAATTTATATATAAAACAGCGAATATAAAACAAGAGAAAAGAGATATAACTGGTATTTGTCTCTGCAGTCTTGTAAGATTTCTATGAACAAATCAAAAGTACATCTCGTAGACATAAAAGGCACTTTTTTTTCTCTCTTAAGGTGGAAATTTCTAAAAACCGTACCAGGTTAACCCCTCCCTGGGGATGGCTGGCGTGTGTTGGATTTAGGGTTAAGGAGTACATCCGAGCCCATTTCCTCTTAGAAAAAGCAGATCCTGCAAATAGATGCTTTCCTGTTATCCTGCCTACCAACTTAAACCACCCTCTCCTACTTGTGCGAATTTGACTGTCGCATGTACCGTACTCTGAAAGTGGGACGGCTACTAAAATGCTGACGACACTTTTGAAGCACTACCTTCTCTTATCTATATATTCTTCTCTTATCTATATTCTCTCGCATTTCTCCGGCTAGTGTTTCTGTTCTTCTTCTTTCTTTTTAATTACTGGTAGAATGTAATCCATCCCTCCTTACTTTCCGTCATCTTCACGATCATCTCTATCACAGGCACAGGGTTCATACCTATTTATCTATACATTCTATGGCTCTCCACTGTCCATCTATTACATTCTAGCATTGTGTGAGTAACAGTGTCAGAGTATTCACAGTCTAGGCATTTATCTGTATCTGTCTTTCTGAATCTATAAAGATATGTCCTAAAACACCCATGTTCTGTGAGCACATGTTCTTAGGCTCCGGATCAGCATCTTGGTTCACTGAGCAACATCTTCTGTGTTGTTTCACTCTTGTAGTCATCTTTTTATTGATTTTTCTCTTTCTTCTTTTTTTATAACTGCTAACAAATAGTTTCTTTTCTCATTAAGATGTCTCCTTTCTACTGCTAACAGATACAGAGGAAGACAACCCGTGATAGTCCACAAGACACAGACACTGTATCTACAAGATACAGTTCTGTAGGCACATGCTACTCGCAACAAGAAAGGACCGGGAAGGAAGAAAGGAAGATCTTCTTTCTTTCCGATTTAGGTCCTCCAAGTTGGACATCACCTGTGCTTTAATATGTGCCTTCAATAAATTGCAAATCAAAACAGACGGTGTAAAATGGTGTAATGAAAAAGATGTAAGAAAGACATGGGGAATCTAAAAGTTGCATTCCAGTACATATTTCCTTATTTAAGCAAAAATCCTTGGTAAACTGGTTTTTTCTACTCATAAAAAGTAAACCCAAATAAAATAAAAGACAGTTAAGATTTCATTTCACGTATAGTGCCTCTATATATTCGCTTATATGTGTTTCATCGTACGAGGAATTAGTCCATCGTATTAATCAAAGCTACTGGTACAGAAGCTCTAAAAGTAAAATCAAATCTTTTCCATGAAAAGAAGTAACAATAAAATAGTTTCAATATGGACGTCATAGCGACATTTGAGAATAAATCAACAAAGTATAAACGCGAAGATTTCTTTGACTAAAGCAAAATTCAGATTTTAGCTTTAATATGTGCCTTTTATAAACTGTGTTTTTAACCCTTATTCTTCGTACTATGTTTATATAATTTAAATGAAATTGGTTTTACGCTAAAGGGATAAATAGATTTGTTTAGAAATGTTAGAATATCTGACAGTTAGGGATTTAACTTTTATAATATGAAATATTCTGATTTTTGGTGATATAAAACCGAAGAGAAGTATAATCAAATTATACTAAATATCTCAATTTTGACCTTGTGAATATTTAGTGTACAATATGTAAAGATCTCTATTTTAAATTAAAAGAAAAAAGTGAATTTTTAGAGAATTAAGTGAACCAAACGTATGATAATTTGTATCACTATGTCATCGTCGTATGGCAAATTATCATAAAATTACTTATGTTAGAAATGGCTATTCAAGACACTACTGGTGATATCTTTATACCTTTTGTAGAATTTATTTTGCTATTGTTTTCTTTTAGCTAAAGTTGCCAATGAATATCTTATTAATACGTTCTACATTTCCCTTTCCTCTCCGTATTCTTATTCTTTTCGCATCTGGCTAAATATCAAGTATGGATTAATCGGTAAATAAAACTACAGCGCAGTAATTTTCAACCTAGTCTTCATAATCTCGGCAACAGTCTAAGCTTGCATATATATATATAGCTGCTGCTACCTATAGTCGTTTAAGAAATCAAATTTTGAGTCAAACTAGTTCTGGATTCAACAAGCAGATTTAAAAATACAAACAACTCAAATTTGGCCATGGTTGGCCATGTAATTTCAGTATTCTTTAAACTGTAATTTTTCTGACTTTTTGTAGTTTTTTCCATAAAATTGTACAATTTTCAGTGACAATAAAGCATATTTCTATTCTATTCTCAAGCGATTTTTAATTCTACACCCTTCTTATATAAAATATTATTGACATTTTTAAGCTTTTTGAAAAGCACCTTATTTCAAATTCTTAAGTCAAATTCTGAGAAGAAAAATATATCATAAACCGCAAAATTTAATTCAGAATTAATAAATATCACATATTATCCGTCCATTACTTTCGAAGGTGACGTAAAGATTTTCTAAACCATAATTATTATCGCTCGTTAACATTATTCAGCCGAAAATACAATAGAATCTCCCTGTAGATTTCTAATCTAATATAATTATTTATTAAACGTGTATCACGAATCATTTATACGTACCAAAATATCGAATATATCACGCTGATGAACGTGAATGGTAATCAGAGTTTCAAACTTCGTTCTTTCAATTTTAGTTAAATCTCGCGTAGTTTGATCGATGAGCGTGTTAAGAAGTTCCAAGAATTTGTTATTGGTATCCGGCATAACTTTCTTGTCATGTCTCGCCTGCATCAGAGCCAGTTCGGCATCCCTAGTCCAGATCATTTGTAAACCCAACAGTCCAATCTAAAAAGGGAAAGAGATATTGATTTATGACTACTATGATTTATGGAGCAGTAGATTTAAAGCCTACAATTGTGTCAAATAATGTTTTTAATATTTTAGGTTAGATAAATTGATACACGACTTTTTTTGTAGTATATTTAGATGTTTTCGTATATTTCTGGGTGATCATCGGTTCGAAAAAATTTTCTGTTTGACAGGAATGATTCATAGACGTTTCTTCGACAAATTACAAACAATAACACCAATACAAACAACAGATCAACACTAACAAAAATGCAATAATTGCAAAGGATACAGTTGCATTAAGAGATCCTGAACTTTACAGTATATTCCATAGAATTGATTCTTCTTCTTCATGTACCATGTCCTTTCAGAACGTTGGTTACCATCATAGCTATCTTAATTTTATTCACTGCCAACCTAAATAGCATGCTTGTATCGACACCATACCAATCTCGCAAGGTCTTGATCAATACCCCAGATTTCTCTGTTTAATGCTTTTTATGATCTCAGTAGTCTTGCTGAGACATTCTAGTATTGTGGAGTTTCGAATCTTCTCCACCCAGGAAACTTTTAAAATTCTTCTATAGCACCACATTTCGAATGCCTCAAGGCGATTTAGATCGATTTTATTCACAGTCCAGGACTCGACACCATAAGGTAAGACCGAGAACACGTAGCAGCGAAGTAGGAGGATCTCCAATGCCAATTTTAGGTATTGAAATTACTGATCACAATCCATACATCGCAAGTTAACGCCTCGAAAAACTATTTTTTCGAAACAGAAATTTACTAAATTTAGTCTTTTTTAAAGCCGTCTACTATAAATTGGTTCTACTTTAACCAATCGACTTACAGTATTGTGCGAATTAATGGAATCATAGGCTGTTTTAATGAAACTGTTTTATTTAGTAAAAAATTGTATTTTGATAAAACTATAAAGGTAAACTTACATCATTCAGTAGGAAATATGTCCCCCTTTGGCAGCAATTACTGCTTTTACTCGTTTTGGCATAGATTCTATGAGTTTCTGGCAGTTGTCAGATATCCTTTCATCTCGATACCAAACCTGAATGGCCGCTTCTATCAGTTTTGTTTTAGTGGTACAGTCGATTTTTCGCAGTCTAGCTTTGCAAATGGCTCATAAATTTTCAATGGGGTTGAGGTCGGACGAATTACCAGGCCAATCTAAAACATTAATCTTCTTATTTTTGAAAAATGCCATTATTTCCTTTGATTTGTGACAGGGAGCAGAGTCCTGTTCAAGAATCGCTCCTCCTTGGGGTTGACATTTTTGAAGTTGTTTGTCCAAATACTTTTCCAACATGGATTTGTATTTTTGGCTGTTCATCATGCCTTCAATTGGCACCAAAGATCCAACCATCATGTATGAAAAACATTCCCAAAACATTTTCTTGTGAATATTGAAAAAATGAAAAAAAATTCACAGTGATTCCATTAATTCGCACAATACTGTATTGTACAACTTCCATGTATTCATGATACCCATTCTAGAACTCGTTCTAGAACTTCTAGAACTCTGTAACCCTGCACCTACAGTACAGCTTGTACAGGTTTAGTTGATTGCTACCATGTGTTTTGGAGTAGCTTGGCAGTCTTCAAGAAGTATTTACTGCCACCTGCGATTAGTACCTAGCATTCGTGCAAGATACGGTGGACTGTTTTATATTATCTGCTACAAAAGCAACGGTCAAGTCTCCATAAAATAATCCCATTAAATATAGAACTCTTAGCTGATTCCTGTTTGTTTCTGCACTTGGGGGCCTTAATCTACAAGGAATCTCAAGTTAAAGTACGAAAAATGATATGTCGGAAGAAAAATGAAGAATGGCAACAAAAGTGTAACATGATACATTCACGTCTAGGAGGACGAAGAAGCACAGAAAGTTGGAGAGTCTTAAAATCTTTAGACAAGATAAGACGAGAGACATAGTGTCAACAGTAACAATGGATGACTGGGACCAATATTTTGAGAAACTGCTAAGGGAATATAGACCACAATTTAAATATAACAACGAAACTCAAAATATAAATATTTTAACTTCATCCATACGAATAACAACGAAAGAAGTAAAAGATGTATGTAGATTTCTAAAAAATAACAAAGCGCCGGGTAATATCCATGCAGAGTTATTTAAACACCGTACAACCAAACTATATACACGTTTAGCCAAACTGTTCCAAAACTGCATTAATGAAATGCTAACCCCAGAGGAGTGGAAGACATCTTTGATATCCACTATACACAAAAAAGGCAGAAGAGATGAATGTGACAATTACAAAGGCATTGTCATGACAAACTCGGTCAATAGAATATACGGATAAGTAATTAAAAACAGAATAGAAAGCGAATATAAAGACTTAGAGGCTGAGGAACAGACAGGATTTAGGGCAGGTAGATCTACTATTGACCATTTGTTTTGCATTACACATATTCTTGAAAAGGAACTGTACGCTAATGCTAACTCAAAGGTAAAGGATGGAAATAAACCGTTAAGTGTATTCCAAATAAACAAAGGCCTTGATTCAGGGCATATCGCCCTGAAGGTGCCAGAGTCAATGTAATCATCAATAACAATGTAAGATATGCCGATGACACCGTAGTATTAGCAGACACAGAAGACCAACTAAAAATATTGATGAACATACTTTCAGAAGCAAGTCACAGACTAGGTTTGGATATTAATCTTTCCAAAACCAAAATCATGGTATTCCACAAGAACCCCCATGAACAAATTACACCCAACATACAAATTAATGGTATCACCCTTCAGAGCTCCCATATACCTGGGCATAAGCTTCATATACCTGGGCAGAGAGCTAAACAGTCAACTAGACCACTCAAAAGAAATTAGAAGACGTATTGAAATAGCAAGATCTGGCTTCATGAACATGCGTAAAAGGCTCTGTAACCCCAAGCTATCAATCACAATAAGGTTAAGAACACTAAAGTGTTATGTGTGGTCCCTACTACTATATGGCTGTGAGACCTGGACATTAAAACAGTATGACGTCAACAAACTGAATTCATTCGAAATGTGGATGTACCGCCGAATGCTAAGAATAAGCTGGACCAACAAAACTACAAATGAAGAGGTACTGGAAATAATGAACACACGACCTCATCTGGTTAATACAATCAAAATTAGAACGACGTCATATCTAGGACACATAATGCGCCATAAGGAATTTGAGCAGCTCCAGGTAATATTAGAAGGCAAAATCGAGGGTAAAAGGAGTATAGGAAGAAAGAAGAAATCCTGGCTCCGAAACATCAGAGATTGGACTCACACAACAGGAAATGACTTAATCCATCAAGCCCAGAACAGAGAGAAATTTGCCATATTGATCACCAACCTCTATAGAGGAAGCAGGGCTGCTGTCTCTCCCCGACATTATTTAAAATTTATCTAGAACAGGATCTAAAACTATGAAATAGCATATACACCTTGTCATTTGTAGATGTTTAATTGATAGCACAAGATTATTAAGATATTGAGTATGTAATGGAGAAGTTATCAAACATGGCAACACATATAATTATTTAGGTATGATCATCACAAAAAAAGGCAACGTAGACGACACAGTTGAGGGGAAAAACAACCAGGCAAGAAAAGCAGTAGTACTCACACTTATTCCAAGGATACTTATATATAGCGCTTTATTTTTTTATGGTGTTGTGAACCTCTCCTGGTTCGTACGTGCTTCTTATATTTCACGTACTTATTTTTTTATATCAAAAATTGTATTCATGTGTTTAGCTGATCGGGAGATTCTAAGCACTCCTACATTTCCATGATTGTTATGATTGTTTCCTGGGAAACTTAGGCTCTAGGTGATTTCCCTTTACCTTCTTAGAGTTTGCAGTAGAAGAAAATATACCGACCTGTCTGCCCTCGGAAACCTAATAGCCATTCGAGGTCGGAAGAAAAAAGAGTTAGTCAAAAGAGGCTGATGGGAAAAATTAAAGGCATTTTACTCAAGATAAGTTGACAAAGAGTAAAATGTGAAGGTTTTTATGATCTGCCAGGTGCGTTTCAGGTTTTCTAGCACTATATAATATTTGATGCTTCCCTTTTGCTTATAGCAATGGGTAAAGGATAAAGACCTCTATAGCTGCTATTGGTGTGCACATCAGAGCTTTTATGATTTCACGACAAGTAAAGAAAACAGCTTTAAAAGAAATGGATAATAAAATTGATGAAAAATAAGCGATCTTTATTTCATAAATAAAGCACAGCACTTGGCAAACTTGGGATGTCATGGGATAGTGAAGCGCAAAAAATACTCAACCCTCTCAGATAAAAATAGCTACCTGGAATGTAAGAAGTATGTATCAGCCTGGAAAACTACACAATGTTATTAAAGAGAAGGAGAGGCTAAATATAGATATACTTGGGGTTAGCGATGTACAGTGGTCAGGAAATGGAGAGATATCAATAAATAACCACAATATTTATTACACTGGAGGAGACAAAACTGATCATCGATACGGAGTAGCTTTTATCATAATCAACACTATTAAAAAATCAGTGTTAGGTGTGATTCAAATCTCAGAAAGAATAATAATGCTAAAAATTCAAGCACGGAACTGTAATATTAATATGATCCAAGTTTACGCTCCCACTGCTGATAAGACCGAAAATGAGATCGAAAACTTTTATTTAGAATTGCACAATACAATCAAGTTAACAAAATCTAGAGATATTACTTACATTTTAGGAGATTTTAATGCAAAAATTGGAGTCGGTACAGTTGAAAATATAGTTGGACAGTTCGGACTAGGAACTAGAAACGAGAGAGGAGAAAGGCTCATAGAATTCTGCCAAGAAAAGAATATGGTATTTGCCAATACTTGGTTTTAGCTTCCTAAAAGAAGACTATATACATGGACGTCTCCTTCGCATACAGAAAACCACATTGTCAGAAACCAGATAGACTTTATACTCGTAAATAGTAGATATAAAAACTCTATAACCTCAGTTAAAACTTATCCTGAAGCAGATGTTAACTCAGACCACCATCCGCTAGTGGCTGACGTGGAAATAAAATTAAAAAGAAATGAACTCAGAAAACAACAACCAAAAATTAACGTAAGAATGCTACAAAACGAAGAAATAAAAAACGAAATAAAAAATAATGTGAATGTTAATATGCAAAAAACACTAACTGACAAAAAACAAATTATGGATGTAAATAAAAAGTGGTGTAATATAAAAAACACATTACTGAAACCAGCTCAAGAAAGTTTAATAGAACATAAATCAGAGGCTAAAAAACACTGGATGACAGAAGAAATACTATTACTGATGGAAGAAAGAAGGAAATATAAAGGAAAAGATCTACAGAAGTATAAAGAAATACAACGAATAATTAAGGAAAACATCAAAACAGCTAAGGAAATCTATTTGATGAAGCAATGTAAAGAGATAGAAGAACTAGAAACAAAATATGATATGAGAAATATGCACAAAAAAATTAGAGAAGTGACTGGAATGGGTCGAAATAGACAGCAAGGACACATAAAAGACAAAAAAGGAGTACTACTAGTAGATTTACCAGAGAAGTTAAGGCGATGGGAGGAGTACGTTAGAGAACTTTTCCAAGATGAAAGAGGTGAAATGCAGAAAATACAAGAATTAAATCCTTTAGACATACAGAAGATCACGATAGATGAAATCAAATATGCTATCAAAAACTCTAAAGACAATAAGGCAGCTGAATTAGATGAAATACCACTAGAACTGTTAAAACTAGTGGAAGAGGACAACTTGGAATTTTTGGCAGATTTATTCAACACGGTGTACGATACGGGAATAATACCACAGGAGTGGTTAAAGTCAGCATTTATAACCATCCCTAAAAAACAAGCAGCAAAAGAGTGCTCTGATTATCGAACACTGAGCCTCATGAGTCATACTTTAAAAGTTCTGCTAAAAATAATACATAAGAGAATATACGAAAGGCTAGAGGAGGATATTAGCGAGACGCAGTTCGGGTTCCGAAATGGAATGGGTACTCGAGAAGGACTATTTGCCATCAACATATTAATTCAGCGATGTCGGGATGTAAATGTTGATCTACACTTGTGCTTCGTTGACTACGAAAAAGCTTTCGATAAAGTAAGACATGAAAAACTAATATCAATACTTATGAACAAGCGCATTGACAGTAAAATCATAAATATAGTGCAAACATTATATTAAAACCAAAGTGCCATAGTTCAAATTGATGGGCAACACTCAGAAGAAATGAGGATCTGTAGAGGAGTTAGACAGGGATGTGTGTTATCACCACTTTTGTTTAACTTATATTCTGAAGAAATTTTCCAAAACATGCTCAATAATATCGAACGGAAAATTAATTAATAATTTAAGATATGCAGACGACACTGTGATCATAGCAACGAGTATAGAGGATCTACAACATCTTATCGAAAGCTTGAGTATAAATAGTGCTGAGATGCGAATTACTATAGACGCTAAAAAAACGAAGTACATGCTGATTACAAAAAGGCCACAAAATATACATCACCTATTGACAATAAATGGTAACGTGATAGAACAAGTATAAAAATATCAGTATTTGGGAACTTTGATCAATGAAACCAATGATCATACTGTAGAAATAAACAGACGAATAGAGATTGCCAGATCAGCATTTATACGAATGAAGCCACTCCTAACGTGCACAAATCTAAATTTGGAGATCAGACTACGTACCATTCGCTGTTATATATTTTCAATATTATTATATGGAGCTGAGACTTGGACATTAAAAAAAAGAAATTTAAAAAGAATCGAGGCCTTCGAACTCTGGTTATACCGCAGATTATTGAAAATATCATGGACTGATAGAATAACAAATAAAGAAGTACTGGAGAGGGTTGGTAAAGAAACAGAACTAATCACCACTATACAAACCAGAAAACTGGAATACCTACGCCACGTGATGAGGGGACCAAAATATGAAATTTTGAGACTGATAATACAGGTAACGATTAAAGGAAGAAGATCTGTTGGCCGAAGGCAGAACTCATGGTTAAAGAATCTACGTGATTGGTACCAATGCAGATCGATTGATTTGTTTAGAGGAGCAAGTTCTAAAATAAAAATAGCCATTATGATTGCCAACCTCCGTAGGGAGACGGCACTCTAAGAAGAAGACTTGGCAAACTGTTCAATGGAATGCACTATACAATAATTGCCGAAATTAGAAAATGAAGTCGCAAAAAAAATCAACATTGATATCGTAAGAACATATCGAGAATACATAATTTATATTGTAGAAATAATATATTATATAATTGACATCAGACATAGAAATATATAATATATAATTTGTTTATTTTAATTTTAACAACGATTTACAGACTGAAAGTCGCAACGTCAATAATATCTAGGTATAATTTTAATTAAAATCATTGGACTTACTTGTGCAGGCATTTTATCCAAAAATTGCAGTAGATTAAAATTAACATCGTTAATAAATGTATACGCTCCTCTTATTATTGAGTGTAGAGATAATTGGGACATTACCAGTAACTGAGTCAGCCACGTTTCTACACTTCCTTCGGCCCTAACTGCTTTCTCCAACTGTATCATTTCTCCTTCAGAAGATAATACAGCAGTTATTTTGTTATATTCTATATCGTGAAATTTAACATATCTAGTATTGTCAAAAATGGAAAGAAGATGATTTTGAATAGTGTGAGAATCTGACGCTTGACCTAGAATTTCTAGAAGAGCAGGATCTGAAACGAAGAAAAATCTTGGAAACATCATTCGTTTCCGTTCCAGGTAACCACTGAGTGATTTCTGACACAGTTCAAGTTGTTCTTGGAGATGTGGTAGCAGTTGTTTAAGTAGGTCGTCCCCTAAAAACAAAAGTTAATACAATTTTGCTTATTAAAACTTACTACAAGACTTACCCACACAACAATTAACTACTCCGGGTGTCTCGTGAGCTCGTTGCATTATTTTCTGCCAAGATTTATCTATTTTAGAAAACCGTTTTGCTTCCTTGGGTAATTGTTTAGCAATATCACCTCCCACAAAAACAGCTTCTAGATATACCCACATGTTTTGTACTAACAGCCATCTTTCCAATATTTCATTAGTGTTGGACAAATCGTAGACCCACTGTTGAATCTGCTTTTTAAATGGAGCATTATATCTACAAATATATTTGTATAATACAATACTCATATATAAACAGTTTTAGTTTTATTTTGATTTTTCTAGAACCAAATACATACCTGTTGGATAACAGAGATCCAAGTATCATAAGACTATCTTCCAACTGTCCGATTGTCTCTGCAGTGGTATCTCCTCTTAACAGAAGTTCACCTCTATTGTTGAATGTTTGGAATGTTAGCTCATGAACTGTCCATTCATTAGTTACCTGGCGAAGCTTAGCTTCGATATCCTTTTCTTTCATTGCTGATATACAAATGTCCTAAAACACATATTAATAAATCCCCTGTAACATTCTGATTATTATGTATGTATATTTCTGCAATTGAGTGATCTATACCTCGATATCTTCTTTATGCTGCAGCAATGGTGCTTCCAAAATGTTTTTTAAACAAAATCCTTCACTTTCAAATTCGAAAATGTGGTTAAGAGAATCCATGATACGTTGCCAATGCCTAGGTTTCATAGCTCTATTGGCCATTAGTTCTAGCAGAGGACACATGTCGTTGAAGTCGTCAATCGTCTTCTTTAAAGCAAAGAAGGCAGGCCATTCCTTTAAACCTTTAAATAAGATACATAATAGAAGAAATATGAAGAGAATAAAATAGCATTGTTTATTTTTTTTGTGCAGACTCTAAGGTTATGTTTATCTGCACAACTCTTTATAATTTTATACAATTTATTTGGTATTTGGGGAGATATGAATTTAAGTCCTATTACTTGTTCTCATACATAATTGCGTCCAATATGCGTCCGCATACTGCCAGGGACATGCAAATATAACTCAAAGATAATGAAATTAGTTGGCCTGCACAATCGCCAGATTTAAACCTAATTGAGCATGTATGGGACATACTAAGCACAAGCATTTTACAACAAAATATTGCGTTGAATATAAGACAGCAACTAGTTGAGCCTTGAATTGGCCTTTCAGTTACTCAAACAACTAGTTGAGTGGAACACAATATCGCAGCAAGACCCTGACCATCTGATCATGAATTTGCTTTACCGTCAATAATCCAAATCCCTGGAGGTCATACACTATACTAACTTAACATAAAGACTAGTTTTTTAGGAGTTTAGGGGCATTTACTTTTGAAATCAATACAATGATGATATTTTATTCAATTAAATATCTGTTTTTTATTTAATACCTTTAGGTAGCTTTCTGCATCTATTTTGGAATTCCATCAATTCGTTATTAATCTCCTCAATATTTACCTCTCCCCAAGGAATATCATAGTAGCTATTTACTCTATCTATTACATCATTATAAAGTTTATACAGCTTTTGCAAAAGGTTAAGTTCTTTTCTAATTTGAGCCATATCTGGATAATCAGTTGTTGGTAGTCCAAATAATTCCTCTCCATTTTGGTACGTTTGGAGTTTTCTCCACATGCCGTCAAAACGATTCTGAAATAAAAATACTTGCGTTAGACAATTATGTACTAGATATAAAATATTATTAAAAATCAAATAGAAGAAAACCTATAGTGCGAACTGGAAATAATAAAAATACTCATTTCAATTACTTTGAGGGACTACAACGTACCACAGCTGCAATATTTAATTTATATACATTTCTTAAATTTTCTTTATTTCTGTTAGAGTTCTTTTCAGAAACAGGTACCAATTCTTCGAAAATACGCAGAGAATTGTTGGAAATTCTTAAAAAACATGTCTACAAAAGGTTCAATATCAGTTTAGGTTTCGTCTCTAGCGTATCACATTTAAAAACAGGAGTACTATTTATTTTTATAAGTGTATTTCTTATAGCTAAATTATACATCGGATTGTTAGGTGTGTGTTTGTATAGGTACTTATTTATAAATTATTTTATATCTTACGGTAGACTTTGGAAGGTAAGTAGTGCTTATTTTCTTAAATTTATTTAAGTAAAATTTTACTTACCTGGAACAATATTAGACGGTCCGAAGCTTCCCTGGGTGTAAGTCCTGCCTGCATTGGACCAGCAGTTCTATACTCGTTACAATAATCTAGTTTATCTTGTTTGAACCTATTCAAATTATTCTTTAGATCTTGTTCAAATTGTGGCTGCATGTCCAATAGATTGACTTGCACTCTCATAGCTCTGTCTAATAGCTGTTTCCAAGTGTAGCGGAGGTTGTCTACTTGTTCTGTAACTTCCCTCTCAACTGGCACCTTATATCGGTGGAGAACGTTAAAAGCTTCCTAAAGTAGAACAAATATTTTTTAAAAATAATTCACTATTAAAAAGAGTTAAATAAAATGCTTTATGAAAACTTGTGGAAAATCTCGTAAAAACTTACACCTTTCTAGATGATATATTTACGAATGACTTTGTGTATAAATAATATTTGTTTAAACAAAACTAGTAATCAAGTTAAATATTTCAAGTTTATTTTTTTAATGGATATTTCAATTTAAAAATATATATTTTTTAGTGAGCTCAAAAAAGTTTAGGAAAACGTAATAATTCCATTAAATTTCATTTTTTTTTATTAACGCATCAACTACGTAGGGTCATTAGCGTATTTAGATTATGTAACATATGTGACAGTTGATACAATATGTGAATATACATTAGTTTACAATAATAATTATAGTAATAATAATATGTATGTGTGTTAAAATGTATGTTTTAGATCTTTTGAAGAAGTTGAGAGTCTTTAAGATAGGAAAATATTTTTCGGTTATCTGTATTTTCATCTAGGGCATCTCTTAGGTAGTTGGATATGCTATATTTAAGTCGTTCACTGTTATATTTGGGACACTGTTTTAAAAAATGTTTTACCCTTAGAACACTGTTGCATACTTCACACACTGGTTTGTTTTTGCGCTGTAATAAATAGTCATGAGTAAGTCGTGTATGGCCGATACGGAGACGGGTAAGTATCACTTGCTCTCTTCTGTCTTTTATTGTTGGTTTCCAAAGATGTGGGTGTTTGTTGACTTCGTACAGTCTAAGGGAGAGCGCCCACCAAAGTGGCGTGGCAGTGGCAAGTAGCAAGTAGCACGCGTCTAGCATAATGTAACCAATGAAAACGAATGATTCAGTTTACACCAAAATGACAGTAACGTCATTCATTCTAATCATTCGTTAGGATTGGTTACATTATGCTAGACGCGTGCTACTTGCTACTTGCCACTGCCACGCCACTTTGGTGGGCGCTCTCCCTTAACGGAGTGTTGTTTCAAGTTTGTTGCCATTTTGAATTATTTTTTATTTTAAGTATGGTTTTAAATCGTTTTGTACCAATATGTTACTTTCTTCGAACATCGGGTTAGTTGGTGCGTTTTTAGCTAGTTTATCTACGGCTTCGTTACCATCAATTCCTACATGAGAAGGCACCCATAAAAAGTGCATTTGGATGTTCTTATTAAAAATGTTTTTAAGTTCTTTTTTAATAAGAAGTAGAAGGGAGTTGTCACAGTATAATTGAGTCAGTGAGGATAATGAACTTAGAGAATCTGTGATTATTATACATCATTCTTTGTTTTTGTTTTGTATTAATGATAGAGCTTTTAGAATTGCGAATAATTCAGCCTAAAAGATGGTTGTCATTGATGGCAATTTGAAACTAACTGAGGTGTCTTCCGAATAAATTGCTGCTCCAACTCTGTCTTCATTTTTTGACGCATCGGTGTATACGTTGTAGATATTGCCATATATGTTTAATAGTGTATGAAACTTTTGTTTATTGACGGTTGATGATATCTCTGATTTTCTTAGGTTTGTTGGACTGATGTCGATAGCAGGAATAGATATTGTCCATGGTGCAGGATTGTGAATTGATGAGGTATCATAGGTTTTTGGAAATTGAAAATTTAATTTGGATAAGTATGATTGTATACGAAAGTAAAAAGGATGATCAATTTGATGTGTTTGTTGAAATTTATTTGTAAATCGATCAGCAAAAACGTTATGTCGTACTGGATTATTTCGGTTTGATGACACTGCCGCTGTATATGTTAGGCTTAGATGTCTTCTGAAAGAGAGAGGAAGTTCTCCACTTTACCAATAGAGACTTGTATAGTGAGCACCTAAAGAAATACGTAGACATCTATTTTGGATAATATTCAGTGACTTCAAATGTGCTTTTTTGGAGGAGTTGTAGACGATGGCTTCATAGTCAAGTTTTGATCTAATTATGGATTTGTAAATAAGTATTAAACTTGAATAATCGGCACCCCAGTTTTTAAAGCCAAGTGATCGTAGTAAATTTATACCAGGTAGACAGGATTTTTTCAGCTGTTGAATATGTGTCTTCCAAGTTAATTTTTTATCAAACGTCATACTCAAGAATCGGATTTCTTCTACATAAGTCTAGTTTTTGCTCGTGTAGTATAATTCTTTTGTTTGAATTTGATTTCTCTTTGAGAAACAGATTGCTTTGGTTTTTGAAGTGTTAAACTGAAGTTCACTTGTAGCTGACCATTTCTCAATGTTTGTTAACGCGTTTTGAATGTGATTGTAAATCGTTGCTATGTTTTTTCAGTTGATGGCCAACTCAATTTTTTGAAAATTCAGATATTGACGGATTCTTGGGTAAAATAACATGGAGGATACAAATCTAAATAGTTTTGGTATCAAAAATAGCCAAAACAATGTTTTACTGGATTTGAATAGTACCCTTGGTTACAAAATCGACTAGCTTTCAAATATGTTGGTGACAAAAATAACCATCTCCACAAAGCACCAATCAGAAGACTTCATTCTGTGACGTGACCTCACCACCTCAGGTGAAACAGAAGACAGCAGTGAACTGAGCTGTTCTGGTGTGTTGTGTATTTTTAAGTTTGTTAAAGAATCTGCTTTGTTGAAAGGAAGAAAGAAACTACAAAATTCTTCAAATTGCAAAAGAGCCAAACAGAAGATTTTGAGGTTAGTATTAAACCGTAACTTAACATTGAATAAACTAATAGACAAACATTTATTTAAAGTTAGTATTACTTAGGCCTAGGCCTAGTTATTAAAGTGAAAATGGACAAATTTCTAGTAGGCCTAACCTACTCACACTTCACATTACTTTTATTTTTCTTTAACTTATGTTAGAATAAAATAAGTTCCCCTGACATAAAACAGTTTCTATTTTGGTTTTAAACCCAATGTTTGTTTTAGGTACAGTTCAAAGGGATTACCTGATGCTCCTTCATGTGGCCACAGAGGGAAGCAAAATTGCAGTTTATTAAAGATGCGAGATATAAATAGGTTTCATAGTGCATTTTATTCTGAAAAGACAAAAACCAGCCAAAATGCTTTCATTCTTAAGTATTGCACAGCAGAACAACCAAAAAAAACCAGACCAGGAGACGGATCAAGTCATACTAAAGGCGTTACCTACTAATATTGTATTGAAACAACAACAGGGAATAGATTAGAAATATGTAGGAACTCGTTTATTAATGTATTAGGAATCACAAAACACAGATTTGAAGGTGTTTTCACAAGATTTAAAAAAGACGGATATCTTATCCCCATTGAAACTCGAGGTGGTTATAAAAAAGCTAACACATAATTTCAGAAAAAAAAATGATTCTGTAATACATTTTCTAAAGCAGTTTAAAGACACAAAATCACATTACATTAAAACGAGGAGTATTCGTATTTATCTTGATTCCACCCTATCTATTTCTAAAATGTGAAAGATGTACGAAAAATTAGTTGTTCATGAATTTATAGGTAAAGGGTCGTTTTTTGACACATATTCGTAACTAAGTTCATCATTAGTTTTAAAAGGCCTTCGACATATGTGTGTTCAACATGTTTAGTACAAAGAAAAAATTAAAGTTGAAAAAAATTAAGCAATATTGCAAACGCTTAAAGCAGAATATACTGTTCACACTAATCGTGCTAAAAGATTTTTTAACCTTTTGAAAAAGATTAATCTAATGTTGCTATAATCTCGTACGACATGCAAAAAAATATGCCTTTGCCAAAGCTCCCAAATCAAAGTGTGTACTATTCAAGTCTATTATACTGCTATTATCTGACGATAGTTTTTGGATGTTCTACTGGAACCGAAGCTTTACGCAAAGAAAATGTATCAATTTACACTTAAGCCGAACACGAAATGAAAAACTCTTCTAATGAAATAGCCTCTGCAGTATTTGAGGAACTTGAGTACAGATCTAAATCTGGTTACTTTAAAGGAAAAGACACTTTAAGGCTGATAGTTGATGGGTGTTAATTCCAAAACAAGAATAGTATAATGTGCATTGCTTGGCTGCACAGGACTAAAATTTTAATGACAGCAGTGGAGCTTGTATTTCCTGTTACCGGTCACTCATACATGCCTAGTGATATAATTTTTGGTGGCATAGAACGAAGTGTAAAGAAAAGAGGTACAATTGTACAGCTTGAAGAGTATTATTTAGAGTTTAGTAAGCATGGGACTGTCAAACTTTTAGGAAAAGACTGGACCAACCAAGATTGGAAGTCAGAAGCTAAAAACTGTGTTAAAGATCCAACAAATTTCCATTTCAAAATTTCACACGTTAAAAAGTTAAGTCTGACCAAGAAATAAAAGTCAGTAACTGTCAGTGGAAAAACAAAACTACAATTTCCCAATGAATTTAACTTTGAGTGTCATAAGACCAGGGAAAAAAGTGTGGAATATAAACCCTACTAAACTTATACTTGGAGTCAAAGTGAATGAGTTAAAAATTAAAGACGTTCGCGGTTTATTACAAAAACATTATGGTAAATAAAAATGAAATGGAAAATGTGAAATAGTATCACGAAGTGATAAACAATAATGAAATGATGCCTGAAAATCCACTTTCTGAATAGAAGTGCTTAAATAATGCAGACTATAATGAAGTCATGAAAGTCAACCAAGTGGTAGTGGACTTTTGATTCAGAATTATTGTAAGATTCAGATATTGTCTACCAGTCAATTAGATATCTAAAGAACTTTTGTTGTTAGTGTATTGTTCGGGTTTGTAAATTTTATTCACAAATATTGTATTAGCCCAATAAATTATTAAAATTTTTAACACATATTTCAACTTTTTTTATTTAATTAATAAAGATTTGTTAACTATTTCTTATATTAAGTGTTCAAAATTTTCTCCATTTACTTCCTGACAGTATTGCATCCTATTGCTAACTCTTGTCTTACTCGTTCAAATTTGTCGGGAGAAATTGCCCTATATTCTTTAACAATTCGTTGTTTAACAATCTCAATACTGCCGGGTGCTGTAGCGTAAACCTTAGTTTTCAAGTACTCCCACAGAAAAAAAATCTAATGGTGTGAGGACCGGTGACCGATCTGGTCATTCTTTCGAACCTGGTAGTTTAATCCATCCCACACGATATTTCTTATCTAGGCAACGTATTACTGCACCATAATAGTGTGCAGGAGCACCATCTTGTTGAAATGTTATTTCTAAATTACCAAATTCATCTGAATTAAAATCATGAATGTGTTGCTTGTGTGAGTCCATTTCAAATAGGTAAAGAAATAATAAATAAGACTTACTCACAATCAATTTAATTTAACTATCAGACGACCGGTTTCGCTTTCTACAATATGCAAAGCATCTTTCTATATAATAGCAGAATTAAGTTCTCCATTCAACAATAGATAATAGTTTCAACCATGTTCTACCATCCATCAATTAATAGAGTACCGACATGTAAGTAATGTTTATTTATTTGCTCATTTATTAATTTATTACAATCTAATAGACTATTTTATAACAATTTGTGGGTCTTACCTTGTCTGTTTAAACTTTTAAAACTTTTTATACCTTTTTATTCAATTTACTCATTTTGAAATAAAACCACAGACATGTAATATTGGCATAATTATTGTAATTTATAACATCTAATTTGTTTATCTTTATTAGACAACACCCTAATATGGGTTTTTATCATTTCGGCATTTATTTAACTTTGTATCGAGACCTGAAGATGCTTTGCATATTGTAGAAAGCGAAACCGGTCGTCTGATAGTTAAACTAAATTGAGTAAGTCTTATTTATTATTTCTTTACCTATTTTTCATCTGAATTATCTTTCAGAATTTCTAGTACTAACGGCTCAATTGCGTTTTATAATATCTTTACATACATTTCAATAGTTCGGTAAGCATAGAGAAAAATAGGCCCGACTGTGTGGTTTCCCAAAATACTTGTCCAAAATTTGATTTTTTCTGGAAGTTGAATATGTTTTTAAGAAAAAACGTAAGGATTCGTGTTACTTCAATACTTCAATACTTCACAAATACGAAAAAATATAGGTTCGATCTACGAGATCGCGGTATCTGTCAGCTACAACTGTTGTTCGGTTACGACAAACGTTCAGTTCTCAACCGCTACAAATTACCTGAAAGCTGACATTGTATGTTTCCCCACTCCTAAGACATAAATTTGAATCTAGACAGTACTGTAGAATTATACGATGTACTTCTTTCAAAATATGTATATATAAAAATGTTTTCAATGTATCTCTCAGATCAGACGCGACTTCCGGAGGGTTAAGTATAACATTTCTGTCTTAAGTCCTCAATTACATAGGTTGTTACTTAGAATGTAGGTATTGCAATAAAGGACAAATAAAATCATCAACAAAAGAATAAACTGTATTACTTTAACTTTGTGTGTTTGTGCGTAACTCAAAATAAATAAAAACCGATTACCTTACCATGCATAACTTTAAAAATCATATCACGCATAAATAAAAATACTTACTTCAACCGGCTCTATTTTTAAATCCATGTCAACCTCTTGCTCCCTGATTTTTTTCAAAGTATCCATTATCAATCTGACGTCGTCTAAGTCTCTTATAGTCCTTTCCAGTTTTCTGTCCATTTCACTTATAACCGCATACACGTAATCCATTTCTCGACGATATTTCTTTTTCATCGCTTGACCAATTCTGTAAAAATCGGTTTTATTGGTTTAAGAATTTAAAGTCAATTTAACATATTTAAAGTCAATTTTGATGGAAATAATATAAAACAAAAAACGATGGAAATTCTAAATAATCTATACAAGTCAAACGGAAAATGAACTAGATTTAATAGAAATTTAGTAGTAGGAATTTTGTTCGTATAATTTTTAAACTGACTGTAATATTTTGGCTGAGAATGTTAACTATAAATACGGGGTGTTCCATAAATAATTGGACATTAGCTAATGAATGATAGCTAACATCAAAATAAAGCGTTTGAGCTCCAATTGCTTTGGCAAAATGTTGCCAGTTTTGTTGTACAGGTTGATTCAATAATATTTTTTTATAATATTATTTTAGGAATATAATAAAAACTATTATGATATTAGTTTTCTCATTGACACTAGGTGGCGCCACCTACTATAACATTGGTTCATTAATGTGCCAAATTTTTTTGTCCGCCCTGTATTCATTCTAGAAAAAAAAACATGAAATCACACTCAATTCTTTACAAAAAAAGTATTCTGGTTTCAAATAAAAAAAGTACACCATTTTCGAAATAAACGTATTTTGTTAATGATACGCATGTCTGTATTTAACTTTTCGCAAAACAAGCAGGTACCTAGATATGCTGTGAACTTAATGGCAAAGTCAATGCGTAAGTACAAATTTGGTTACTATTTGTTGTCAATATATTTTAAACAGTTTTTTTGTATTTTATTTAAATATTAAACTAATTTTAGTACGTACAAGTTTCCTAAAAATTGTCTTAAATAATACCGAAAATAAAAAAAAGTAAGCAAGGCAATAACATGATATGTTCCCAAGCGTTCACATATCTAAAATTGACCCCGGTCGACACTGCTTGGCTCCTGTTTTCGAGCGACAACTGGTGTTAGCCACTGCGCTACGGCCGTAAAATTCATACTAAAATGAATTATTTTGAAAGATTATATCTACAAATAATATTAAGATTGCTTTTTAATCGTATTTTCATCATGTTTTAATATCTATTATCCTATTTCCAACGAAGACAAAAAAATTATAAAATATATTTTTTTCACACTTAATTTGCACTGATACATACGTAACTGATACATAAGTACTTACTGTCATACTGTACATACAGTCATTTTTATAAAAATTCACTCTTGAAATTTTTCCGAATTGTACCTAAAGAAGTGTAACTTCAAAAACATGAACTAACATTCAATTCTACACAAACAAGGTATCTAGTCTTCTTTCACATCAAAAAAGTATACCGTTTTCGAAATAAACGTTTTTTTTTTCATGTTGCATGTCTCTATTTAATTTTTTGCAAAACCAAGTAGGCTTTGAACTTAATGGCAACGCCAAGATTCTCGATATACTATATTATTTATCTGTGGTCAAGATAATTTTCTAATTATGCGCGATATGATCTGTTTGTATGCTCAGGAAAATTTTTGTTCTCGTAAAGAAGCTCAACGCTATTTCGAACTTTATCTCAATAGAAGGCAAGCAAACCATAAAACTATTAGACCATTTTTCGACAGATTAGGCAAACAGGGTCATTTCATCCCAAAAACAGAAATGCTGGAAGATCGAGAATAATTGATGCGGATATGGAGGATGAAATTGTTGTGCGTGTTGCAGAAGATTCAGAAACCAGTGCAAGGTTTGTTTCTGCGGCCACTGGTATAAGCAAATCTACGGTGCCAAGAATAATATGGACATAATCTTTTACCACAAGACTTTCCAGCAAGGCTCCAATTTGGTCAGTTTATGATAGGGCATTATTTAGACAATACAATATTTTATAATAAAATTTTATTTATCGATGAAGTCACATTTACTAGAAGAGGTGTGTTTAACTGGCACAATAGCCATACCTTTGCGACAGAAAATATTCATGCATTTCAATAACATCATTTTTAACATGTGTTTTTCATAAATACCTAGTGTGATATATTTGGGGATTGTATTGTAGGATCATTCGAATCACCAACTAGGCTTAACAAAGTAACGTATCTAAATTTTTTGAGAGAAAATTTACCAACTCTTTTAGAAAACATCCCTCTAAATTTAAGACGTCAGTCTTAGTACATGCATGATGGTGCACCACCACATTATAGCCTAGAAGTTAGAATTTATCTAGATGAAATTTATTCTCAAAGGTGGATTGGTAAAGGTAGTCTATGCCTATGGCCAGCACACAGTCCCGAATTAAATCCCCCAGAGTTTTACATGTGGCACTACCCAAAGTCACTTGTTTATAAAAAAAACCCTCAAGAGTTATGGCAAAATATTGTAGAGGGAGTTAACGTAATTAGGGCCCAACGAAACTTATTATTTAAAATAAGACAAATCTTACACAAAAGATTTAGATTATGTAGTTTATCTAATGGTGAACATATTGAACACTTATTGAAATTTTTTTTGTTTTGTTTTGAATTATTTTTTTTGTAAATTGTTTTATATTCACTTTATTGTTTAATTTAATTTAATTTCTGATTTTTTTTTAAATTTGTTACTGTGTAAAAGGTTTAACAAAAATCATTGGTTTAATCATATGCATTTTGTTTGCAAAAAATTTCTACTATGAATACATTTAATATTTACTGTTATTTAAACCTTTTCAATAATGTTTGAATTTACGTAATTTTTTTTTTTTAATTTTTTCATTTTATGCACGTCTCCAAAAAAAATACGATTATTTCGAAAACGGTGTACTTTTTTTATTTGAAGCAAGAATATCTTTTTTATGTATAATTTAATTGTTTATTATGTACAATTGTTATGTTATTTCATGCTTTTTTTCTAGAATGTTTATACAGGGAGGACAAAAAGTTATGGTCACATTAATGAACCAATGTAGTGTGGAGCCACCTAGTGTCAATGGTAAAACTAATATAATTTTCATATTAAGCATACTAAATAATAGCAAGATAGCAAAATTCACTTCAATCGATTGAATAGTTTTTAATATATCCCTAAAAATTAATATAAAAAAATATTATTGAATCACCCTGTAGAACAAAAATGTCCATTTGTCATCTTTTGGGCTTATTTTTGTATTTTTATATAGGAAAGCTTTAAAGGATTTGGAGATAATCGGAGTAAGATAGAGGACCGAAAAAAATGGACAACAAAGTTCAACGCGGCAAAGACTCACGAAGTGTTTAACGCTATTGATGATAATGAAAGCACTAAACGAGTACTCTTTGGTTACATTTTTGGAGTAGGTATGTAATCATATTCCTATTCTAATTTTACAAAGATATATAATGAGGTGATTTTTTATAATTACATTTATCAAATTATGGACTGTTTTTTTGTGCTATTTTTTAACTCTTTTATTAATTCTCATGTTATCTTTTTTTTAACATAATTTTAGAAATAAACTAGAATACAAATTAAATGCTAAGGAGATGATTGAAGCATTTAGATGAGACAGCTGGACCTTGGATAAAATTAAGGCTTTAAAATTAGGAAAACAAACAATGATCACAATCTTAAACTGATACATAGAATAGAGTTGTATAAAACTTCTGTACAAAACTTAAAAGATATAATTTTCTGATCTTAGTAATTATATAAAATTATGTGTTTTAGTAATATTGCGTATTGTTTATCTTTTTCTCCGCATGTACAATTTGAAGAATCAGTTTATTTTATTTTAATCACAATCATATGGAGATGAGATGAATAAAAACCATCTCTTGCTGAATTGAATGTTGGAACTTATGTGTTTGTAAAAATTATGTCAGGTAAACGAAAATGTATAAATTACGTATATGCCGAAAGGATACAAGAGAAATTACCTTTTGACGAATATGAACTTATTTGACTTAAATCACTGTATAAAACCCATAAACATTTTAAAGTTGTGGAGACCGACGTTTTTAATGTTGCTTTCGCTGATATCTTAGCAATTCTGAAGACCACATCAGTTCAAACAATTGCAACGAAATGCATATTTCCTAGCAGAGTTGATGTTGAAGAAAAATAACTTATTTTGTTTGGCTTTCATAATATATTCTTTTAACTTTTTTTTACTATTTTATATTGTTTTACTAATTTGCTAAAATGTTTGTTACCTTAATAAAGTATTAGCTACTTCTAGACTCATTTACCATATACTAATTACTATGTCTGCAGCAATTATCAAAGTCACCTCTCAAATTAAAATTCAAAGATCTAAAAATTGGCTTGATCGATTAAAAAATGGATTGACATTGATATTACTAGGCTTTTATGCATCGGCTCAGCTTTTTCAAAATGGGGTATCAAAGTGACCACACATCACTGAGTGACTTTGATATACACTTTTTTATTTATTTATTTTTGAAGGTATACTTCTATACGCACGGGGGGCATTGGAAATTTGCATTAGAGTGAATCTGTGAAACCATTACATATGTAAGATAATGAGTAAGAGAGACAGAAGATATATTTTCTCTCTCTTCCTCTCTCGAGAATAAAAATTTTCCTTTTGTATATATATATATATATATATATATATATATATATATATATATATATATATATATATATATTATTATGCATAATATAATGTGTATTAATATTATTATTTATGTGATATGTTTTGTAGTATTTATTAAATGTTTATAATTATTATAGGCTTTTGTATTTCAAAATAATTACTATTTTACCGAGAACTGTCAATTTTGAAATCCGTTAGTGTCATACCTAATTGGCAAATCCTTTACGTGTTTGGTTCATACGCTGGTGGTTGTGAGTTCGAATCCCAATTATTAATTTCCTTTTTTATTTTTGAAATATTTAAAAACCTCACGTTAATCTTATTAAATATATGTAATATACACAAAAAACATAAACATAATCCGAGTTGTTGGTTTTTTATTTTTATCTTCGTAAAGTAAGTTAAAGGTATATTGGCAGTTTTAAATACTTATGAATATTACATTTTAATTTATATTGTATTATTATATTGAATTTATAGTGTATTTATTGTATTGTAATTTTTATATTAATAACAAAATAAACAATGAATTTTACTGCAAAGTATGTGTAATTTTTTTGCATTCAATTCCTTTTATACATATATAAAAATAAAAATATATATTTTCATTAAAAAATTTATAGAATCTTTCATTTACTATACTCCTATTACAGGTCAAATGTTTATATACAGCAAACGATGCACCATATACCTATATAACTAATTGTTTTTCTCTTTCTGCTCCCTCTTACCTATAGCATTACATATGTAATGATTGTGCAGATCGACTCCTATATAATTTTTTAACGGCGAATGCGTGTATAGAAGTATAACTTCTACCGGCAGTCCCACTGGACTGCCACACCCGTTTTTTTTTTTGAGAAAATCCTTAATTTGAAAACATGTATACTATCAATTTAAATTAAATAAAGATAAAACGCATCCCAATGGTGACTCTTTTACATTTTTGGGATGACCCATTCAAAAGTTACGCTAGAAAATATGGAAAAGATTAACAAAGTTACTCCGTTTTACGGTATGCAGAAAATGTACTAAATTGTTGTAATTTGTGGAATACACTTTATTTGGATAACAGCTAAAAATAATTGATTTCAAATTTCAATACAATTTTAATTTTTGACAAAGAGTTTTTGATTACTGATGATATATTATAAGCAAAGAAGTATTGAATTTTAAAGTTCCCATTAGGTTTCTTATGGCACATTTGAATACTCACTACCCTGTCTTAACTTATAAAGTCTATCTTTTTATATATGTATAATGTATTAAATTTATAATTATTACTTATTTAGTCATATCTAAAATATATAAGTATTTTGGTAACAACTAAAACCACATAATTTCATAAATTAAATTCCATATTCCTTTAACACTATTTTAACTATCAAAAGTCATTTGATTTCATTTTAACCGTAGATAAAGGTTGATATGTTTTATTGTCTAGTCTTCATTTCCAAAGTTTTAAACAAATCAAATCATCTTACCTGTGTGTGCATGATTTGATTTCTGTCATTAACCCAAACTTCAGATTCTCGGTAGAAATGGCAAGGCAATTTGCTATAACAAAAGTATCCGGTTCGGTTGACAATCTTTCGGTGAGTTCTTCGTGCTTCCGTAGAGATGATTCAAACTCGGTTAATATAGCAGTCAACAACTCCCGTTGGGTCTTTTCGTTTCGCCAAAGAATATTGTATGGACGCCATCTTGCCATAAATTGGGTAACTTCCTATATTAATAAATACAATTATTTAGTTTGTGGTTAAATATTTTTACTTATAGGTATATGTAATTTTGGATGTGAAAATAATATTACTAACAGAAAAAGCAAAAGAATATAGGATATTGGTATAAGAGCAGTATTGAAATTCATTGTAAAAGCTCCAATGACACATTTACAAACAGGAACTTTCTTTACAAGAAATGTTTAGCCAACAAAAATGCTGACGTTGAAGTTGTTTTTCATTATTACTGTCTAAATCTTAAGGCATATGAAGAAATATACTGATATTGCATATTTCTGAAAGATTGACAAAATAAAGCAATGAGAATTAATCGGTGATTATAGATTAGGGATAGGAGATGAAAGAGATAAACCTATAAGTAATCCTATTCAAAAGAAATAAATGGCTGTACTTAAGAATTTGCAACAAATAAATATCACGATGCATGTAGACATAAAAACCATCATGTAACAATGTATTTTAGTAAGGTGTCATTAAATAAAACATTAAAAAAAATTACTGGGTCTTCAGAAGACGGTATCTCTTTCGAACCTTTGAATTCTGCATAATTATAATTTTTAAATTCAATCGGTATTCTTGGTTCTTAAGACTACCCCTTAAAATCATCAGTAACATCTGAAGTTGCTTCATCGTCATTTGATGATCAAACATTCATATTTTTACTTTGAGAGGGTTTTTCGGGCAGGTAATCTCTGATGCTACAGAATCATCTGAATCCTCGTGTTATAAACAGCCGTAAATTGTAGAATTTATATGTTTTCTACATAGAGGCTTGTAGTTATTTACTATATCTATTTTGGTTGTACCACTTCCAGACGGAGTAAACGGCAGTATTATAGACAAATTCTGCTAGATCTTTCCAATGGTGTGTTAAGTTCTACTATATCCTAAGCATCTGAGTCCTCTTCAATATTTTTTATTCTGAAACTATTATATATTATCCTTATATTGGTAATAAAAAACACTTTCCTTTTATAGCACTCGTCAATGGTCAAATTTTAAAGATAACAAAACACATTTAGTCACATGCTAATTGCAACAAAGAAGCTCACTAGAATCCACTGGTACAAATATTGTACCACTACAATGTTTACAAGTTGAGTAAACACCCGGTATCAGAACCATGTATGCATTAATTATTAAAATACAGGTGTAGATGTAAATAGGTAGAAATCTGATTTGTACTCCTCATTTACTCTGGCGAAAATGTGTGGTAAAAGGGTAATACCAGAGATCATCATCATCAACTAGCCTCTAACGTCCACTGCTGAACATAGGCCTCTCGCATGCTTTTCCACTTAGTCCGATTTTGCGCCATCTGAATCCAATTTGTAGTCACTCTTTTTATGTCATCTGTCCATCTCGTTGGGGGTCGACCTTTATTTCTGTAAGCTTGTATTCGGGGTCTCCATTCCAAAATTCTTTTTGTCCACCGGTCATCAACTGATCTTGCTACATGACCTGCCCAGTTCCACTTTAGTGTTGTTATCCTTTCAATAACGTCTGCTACTCCTGATCTTTTGCGTATAGTAGCATTGGGTATTCTATCACGTAGAGAAATCCCTAACATAATTCCCTCCATTGCTCTTTCCGCAACTTGTAGTTTACTCACTGTTGTTCTTGTGAGCGTTAGGGTTTCTGCGCCGTAGGTCATCACTGGCAAAATACATTGATTAAATACTTTTCTTTTCAGACACATTGGAATCTTAGATCTAAAAATATCCTTTATCCTTCCAAATGCAGCCCAAGCGAGGTTTATTCTTCTTTTCAGCTCGATTGTTTGGTTGTCTTGACTTATTCTGATCTCATAGCCTAAGTATTTATAGGAGTCAACTGGCTCAATATCTTTGTCTTCTACTGAGATGTTTTTGTTGTGGACTAAATTTGTCATAAATTGTGTCTTTGAAAAATTTATTTTAAGACCAACTCTTTTTGTGGCAGTATGGAGTTCTTGGAGCATTATCTGTGCTTGATCAAAGCTGTCTGCAATAAGAACGATATCATCTGCAAATTTAAGAATATTTAAAAATTTTCCATCTACATTGATGCCCTTTTCGTTCCAATCTATTGTTTTACAAGCGTATTCTAGCAAAGTTGTAAATAATTTAGGAGACATGTTGTCTCCTTGTCGAACGCCTCTTTCAATACGAAAAGTCCCAGTATCTTCATTAAGTCTTACACAGGCTGTAGCATGTTGATAGATGTATTTGATGAGAGATATGTATCGCTGATCTATTCTACATTGTGTTAGAGCTTGGAGCATTTCACTTTGATTGACTGTATCAAATGCTTTTTCAAAGTCGACAAAGACAAGTATCAGGGGTCTATTATATTCAATGGTTTTTTCAATCAACGACTTAATGGTTTGCAAATGATCATTTGTTCCGTATCCTGCTCTAAACGTGAGATAACAAGCTAATAGGTCTATAGTTCTTTAGCTCTGTTATATCTTCCTTTTTGTGCATGACTACTATAACAGCTTTATTCCACTGAGATGGTGTAACCTCGTTTGAAAGGCATAAGTTATATAATTGCGTCAATGCTTTCAATACTGTCTTTCCTCCTGCTTTAACTGCCTCAATAACGATTTGATCATCACCAGCTGCTTTATTGTTTTTCATTCTATTTAATGACTTTAAGACTTCTTCGATTGTTCTTTCTGGGATATCCTCTGAGCCCACATTCTGGACTTTTCTCAACTTGGTGCCGTCTTTCTTCCCCCTTTCTCTATATAATTCTGTGTAAAATTCTTCAACTACCTTAATTATCTTATCTTTATCTGTTACCACTTTTCCATTTCGATCTGCGAGCTTAACAATGTTCTTCTTACCCAGAGCTTGACATCTCTTCAGCACCTTTAAACTTTTATTTTTCTCGACAACCGTTGTAATCTTTTTTGTGTTATATTGTCGTACGTCCTTTCTCACTGCTTTATTAATATCTTTATTAAGTTGTTGTAGTACGCGTGCATTCGTATCGTTTTTGTTCTTAAGTTCTCTTCGTGCCTCCATAAGTCTTTTTGTTTCTTGACTGAGCTTTTCCTTCTTATCTCTCCTAGAATTTGTATTGCACTTTTTCTCTGCGTTCTTAATAGCTTTTATTAAGTTATCATTTAAGGTTTCGATATCCATAACGTTTATATTTGTTGTCTCTAGGCATCTCAGAATTTCCTCTTCGAAGGACATGGTGTTTTCGATTGGATTCCATTCTATTGGGTGTGTTTTTGTTATCATTTTGTATCTTTGTTTTTGGAGATTTAGCAGGATCTTCGCTCTTACCATTCTATGATCACTTCCCACTGAACAGCTATTAAGAACTGTTACATCATGGATTATGTCTTTGTTGTTGGTTAAGACAAAATCAATTTCATTTTTGGTGACTCCATCTGGACTTGCCCAGGTCCATTTTCTTTGGGGACTTTTTTTGAAAAAGCTATTCATTGCAAAGAGGCCATTTCGTACCAAGAAACCCAAAAACATTTCGCCTCTTTCATTTCTTTGTCCGAATCCATAGGGACTTATTGCTACTTCGGTCCCGTCTAGTTTACATTCCAACTTAGCATTAAAGTCACCCATTACTAGGTTGTGTGTAGTAGGCGCTAGTTTTACAGCATTTTCTAGGTCTTCATAAAAGGTTTCCACTTCCTCGTCCGAGTGTGTAGATGTAGGTGCATAGGCTTGAATTATTTTAAGGCTGGTTTTTTTATTAAGCTTCAGTATGCAGAGTATTATTCTTGGGTTGATACCTTTAAGTTGTTGGATATTTTTAGTGTGTCTCTTATGTATAAGAAGTCCAACTCCTCCTATTTTTTCTTTGTTTCCCATATAGAAAAGTTGATGCCCTGATTTAAGAGTTATACAGTTTTCTTCTTCACGTCTTACTTCACAGAGACCTATTACGTCCCATTTTATGTGTTTTAACTCTTCTTCTAATTCCAGTAATTTTTCTTCAGATGACAGTGTTCTTACATTGTACGTGGCGATATACATTTGTCGTCGTCCGTGGTAGCCTGATCTGACCCGGGGATTCTTCGCAACCTCTGTTTGCTGTCTTTCTTGATCCTTGAATACCAGAGATACAAAGGGTTAAATCAATGTCTATAATATGACCTAAAAATATCCCAGTCTACTGACTATCGCGCTAATATTAGTCTGATAAAAAATTTGAATAAACTATTGCTTAAGACAATACATCTCAGAATATATAAGAACTGTGAAAATATGGTGAAAAAAACACTATTTGGACTTAAAGATGCATTGAGTACAAGATAGGCTGGTGTTTCTCTACACGTCATTTTTCTAGTCAGATATACTTTCTTGATTATTGATACAATACTCATTGCTTACCTGCTTCATATCTTGCATACAAGTGGACAGTAGCGACAACGTCTTGACGACTTCCTTGTTCTCCATCACGTGATTATAGAAGTTCCTCTGCTGTAGCGGAATGGTTGGCTTCTCCTCTGTCAGTAGTCTGTACAGCTTTCGGCGCCGGTTCTTGCCGTCGTCCTCCTTGGTTTTCGCCGTACCCTTTACAACCTTTTGGTCAAAGCGAGAACGATTCACAATATCCATTAGACTCGATTTGGGACCCGCAATTTTTTTCCACACTGAACTCTTCGGTGGGTTAGCCTTATTTACAAAGCCGCATGCCCGTGGAAGGTTGTTATGTTTGAATACAGTGTGTGCGTTTACATTGGAAGAAGTGATGTAATGATTGGTCATTTATAGAGAGTGATGTTTTAAATATTACGGTGGTGTGAGTAAAGTGAGTTTAGAGAAAAGAAAGATATAACATTAATAAACATGAATCAACAGTTAAGACTTATTATTATTTATTGTACGTATAGTTCGTATTTTAATTTCGTTAAGTATTAAATTTTTTCTACTCGTTGCCTGGTAGCTAATAATTTATTGTTTTTATTAAGCCTCTCAAAAGCTCCCTTTTTGAAGTCGATTTATATAGGGTGAAGTGAAGTAACTGTGTGTTGGGGCAACTCTGGCACCCATTAATGTTTTTTTTTTTAATTAACGAGATATTTTAAAATTTACAGTATATACTTGTTTAAT